AGCCAGACACAGAGGGACAAAGATTGCAGGATTCCACTTAAGTGAAGTATCTGGGGCAGTCAAATTCATGGAGACAAAAAATAGAATGGTGTTTGCCCAGAGCTCAGAGGGAGAAACGGGGAGCTATTACCTAATGGCCACAGAGTTCTGCTTGGAGAAGGAAACGTTCTGGACACAGTGGTGATGGCTGCACACCAATGAATGGGCGCAGTGACACTGAACTGTACTCTTGGAAGTGATCAAGGTGGCAAATTTTATGCTATGTATATTTTGCCACAACAAAGATCTTAATACATATTTTAATATTAATATAAAATACTTTCAGAACAAGAAGCACAACAAATCCACAATCCATGGGAAAGGTGAAAAAGGATATGTCACTACAGTAAAAATGGCAGAAATGCCAGCTAAACACACACTCAGCCTACTTAGCATTATGGCATTTATGCCAAGAGCAGAGGGTAGGGGCTCTGACCAGGAGGAGGACACTCTGTAGCCACTCGAAGGACCTTCCAAGTATCAACATCAGGACTCCTCCCTCCTCTGGTCCGTTCCAAGTGCTCCACGGGTGACTGAGCTCCTTGCTCCCGCATGCCCCATCCTCAGTGCACACGGCATGTCTCCTCACTCTGGCTCGGTCAAGCACTTACATCCTGTCCACACAGCAGTCTGAGCACAGACCCCACAGACGTGGCAGTATCATGTAGTCATCCACAGCACACTCTGGAGTCAGACAAGCTTGGGTTCAACTTCCAGGCTCATTACTCTCTACTTCTGTGACCTTGAGGAAACTGCTTTGCTGCTAGGGACCTCAGTTTCCCTAGGTGTAAACTGGAGACAGCGCCTATTCCATAGAATCGTTTAGATAAATAAACATGGTAATACATGCCAAGCACAGTGCTTGGCATTGAGTAAGCTCTTGTTATGCTCTGGCTGTTTTTTAATATCCTCGTCAGTACCACACACAGTGCTGAACACTAAACACCAATTGGGCTCAATACATTTTCACAACAACAGATGTTTATTCACCGCCTGTCATGCTTTCTACCCTGAGCTGGATGTCTAGGGAGTTAAGCTGTCTTATTCCTACTTGTTTCTCCAGCATGCCACCGAATGCCTGACTCACAGCTGACATCCAGAGTGTTTGTAGAACTGAACTTCTCAGTTTAAAATCTAGTACATGTTCATATGACTTTGAGGAGCAAAAACAAGACAAAAATGCAATCATAAAAAGAAAGTATAAAAAAGAAGCATGCAAGTAGAATTTTTTTTCAATTCTTAAAGACAAACAGAACACCTTACATATGAGGTGAGAACCAAAAAAACCCAGAATTATCTTTTGGAGGACAGGCCCCTTATAGTACAGGCTTCCCAGCTAGGTGAGTGTTCTAGGAACCCACCTGTATCCCTGTGCTAGCTGGCCTTGTTGTGAGAGGCTGCATTCAGCTTCAGTGAATTTTCTTTGAAGATTTTTGGTGTGTGTGCCCATTTCATGGTGGGTGATTTACAAGTGCACCTGCCCAAACTGCACTGAGAGTTCAGCAGTTTTTGACCAAAATTAGCACGATCCCCATGCCCCACCCTCCCTATTCACCCGATCTCACTCTGAGAAACTTTTTTTTGCTTCCCTGATCAAAAATACTCAAAGGGAAATATTTTGCCAGTGGGAAGGGGTTAAACAAAAAACGGCAGAAGCACTAAAAGGCGTCAAAATTAACAAGTCCAAAAACTGTTTTGAGCAGTGGAGAAAAAATCTTGATAGGTATAGTACATCAAATGGAGAGTACTTAGAAGGTGACTGAAGTTTAAACCCATAAAAATACACAACTTTATATAAATACATTTCAGATTTGGGGGGGGTCCCCTCCTATTTGACATGTATATCTTCTTAATATACTGAAAGCTTTCAAATGTTGCTTTCTCAACTGTCTGTGGCAATGCATTAAAATTCCCACTCGTGGACAAATAAACTGAGGATCAGAGGGATGAAGAGACTTGTGCTTCATCACAAGACAATGGGCTTTACTGGGCTACAAGTGCAGAACTGCTTCTATTTCAAGGACCTATCTGCTGACTTGAGTATGACAGGAAAATCCCCATTCTCCTACCCACATATTTACTTTCCAAGAGGAAAGTGGGGACCAAGTAATATATGAAAGTCAGCATCTGTGTCAGAAAGGTCCCTGAATTGCAAGTCACCTCTGAGCAGTAAAGGGAGAAGAGAAAATCAGTGAACAAGCCCCTGAGGCGCGGAAACACAAGTGACCTCAGCTTAGGGGTCTGTATCAAGGGCCAGCTTTTAATTTACAAACACAGAGATATAGAATCTCTGAGTGTCTAGCTTTGCTGTTTCTGAGAAAAACAGACATCATATCCCACCTTTACCAGCACCAAACAGCCTCAGGGAGAAAGTTCTAAAGTGAAAACAAAGTCACCTGAAACACTCTCATGATGACATCTACAGGAACCACTCACACAGCTCAACTGTGCAGGTTTTACCAGGAAATCAGGCTGATGCTGGAAAACATCACACCCAGATGAAAGGTACAGACATGAATGAAAGCTCCTAAAATTGAAAAGCTAACTGATTCATTAAGTCTCCTAAAAAAAATTGGAAAAGGCATAAGCTAGCAGAAAAAAAATATATATATATATATATATATATTCTTACTTCTGAGCATAATAAGTGAGAATACAGAGAACTCACTGGGTTTCTTCACTTTAAAAATGTAGTCACTTGATTATGTCCCAACAGTGGGCCTCTGCTCCTTCCCACGTGAATATATAGAGCACTGTCCAAGGCACTATGGGTTGGAGGAAACTGGGACTAAGGTTAGTAAAACCCCCTCTCTGCTATCAAGAGCATAAAACCTTGACGAGGGGTGGGAGCAGCTAGATGGAAGAAGGTGAAGGGATTAGCCAACAAACATGCATGCGGGACCCATGGACACAGAAAACAGTACGGTGATGGCCAGAGGGAAGTGGAGAAATGGGCGGAGGCAGGCAAGGGGGGGAGAGGAATTGGGACATCAGTAACACTGTCAACAATAAAAAAAAAAATTGTACTGGGAAAAAACAGCACAGAACCTACTGTGAGGCCAGAAACGTTTGGGAGTACAGGTATGACCCACTCCTCAAAGCCTGCACCATACCACTTCAGAGAAAGTGGCAAGGGGTAAAACTTGTTGATAAAAGATGGGGTTTGAGTCCAGACTCCGCCCTCTGCTAGTCCTGTGCCGTTGAAGAGATCCAGTTAGCTCACACTAAACATAGCACCCAGCACAGAGCAGGTATTCAATATATATCTGTACAAGGAAGGAAGGTGGGCGAGCAGCCACACACACATTCCCAATGTGTGTCTGCACTTGTCTCTTCAAGATATTGCTCATCAGTAAAATGGGAATGATAATGTCTACTTTATGGACCTCACAGGATCAGAATGTACAAACCACTGTATGCTTAAATCATTAACAGGTTCGGACTGATGGACAGGTCAAATACAAATCCACTTGGATTCATCAAATAATATTTATTTATACAAAGCAGTGGTTAGTAAACTATAGCCCACAGGGTAAATCCAGCCCAGTACCTGTGTTTGTAGAGTCCAGGAGATACAAATGGTTTTTACAAATAAACATTTTCAACCAATTTGATGGTAGGAAAAACTAATTTTTTATCCCAGCTCAGCTAAATATTATTATTATTTTAATAAAACTTGTACAATTTTTTTCTCTTGTTATAAAGTACCTACAGAATATCTCAGTTTTGCCTCTTGGCTCACAAAGTTTAACATTAAACTGACTCTTTGTAGAAAAAGTTTGCCACTCCTGATCTAAACAAGAATTTTTACAAACACATACCTTGCAATATAGCAGAAAAACCTGCAATAATTTCTGAGTGAGTAATGGTCAAACATTCCAAAAGCTTAACCACCCTTTTCACTCCCAGGCCTAACCGGGCTCGGCCAGTCTGGATACGTGCTCATCCAGGCCAGGATCACATCATTAATCTCCACAGTACATCTATGACAACGCACAGTACTAAACACTCATTCACCACCCTCAGCCTTCCAGACCAATGCATCCCAGCCCTACCTACATCTGCCAAATGAGAACAAAGGTCCACTGCCCAGAAAATCTCTGGGGTTCTAACAATTCTTTTGCCCAGCCATTAAACCTACCTACTAGGTAACATATGTGTAAGTCCTGAGTAGACCCTGGGAATAGTGATTAGGCTCATAATCACAATTAATAACAACAACAATATTGTAAAATAAATGCAATCTCAAACCACTTCAGAACACCTGCAATAGGCATATAAAGATGATAAGGAATGGACTTGGCCCTAGGCAAGAAAATAGGATATATGAATCTCATGTGAACTGTCATATTTCACAGAATAAAAACTGAATCGCTCTACTTAAAACAGGGTACACAGGGCCTTAGAACGCCAAGGTGGCCTCTGAATCACCTTCCTAGATGCCTAAGCCCCACAATGACAGAGTGTCACAACCACAGAAAGAGATAAACAGGAGCTCTGGATTCCTATGTCTTCTTCATCCACAATACCAGGATGACAGTATCAGCTTTCTCAAAGGTTTGTAACGATTAACTGAGATAAATAAAAATTCTTTTCACAGTGAGTAGCACACAGTAAGCATTCAATAAATATTAGCTATTATCTTTTTAATTAAATAGCTGTCATATTATATAAACTATAAATATAATTATTCACTCTGGTTATTTCTCTTAATTAGACTTTAAGTATTCTCCATATTATCACATATGCTTCATTGGTATATTTTTAATTTAATGGGCCACAAATGGCACTTTTACTTTGATTTGGATTTATATAATAATTCATGAGGGTAATTATTTTTGCAAATATTTGTTTATTAACTATATTTTTCTTTTTTTGTTTATGAGCCTTATCCAACGACCAAACGGGAACATCCAAGGTTTCTTAGAATTAGTGTTGGTTCGAAATGGATACAGGCTTACCTTCTGGGCCCCCTGTCTTAAGAATGTGCCTGCAAAAGTTTCCAAAATGCAGTTGAGAAAACCAGCCCCAGTGATTGAAATCCTGCCTCTTTGAATGAACTCTGTCCTGCAAAAAACAAAAATATACATTTTTGATGTCATTATGTTTAGATATTTAAAACACAGAGATTTCCAAAAGCCTAATAACCACTTACAATCACCACAAAATTATATCCATAGTAACTCAATAATTGCCTGTTACAACAAAAAAAAAATTGTTCAGAAGATACTTACAGTTTATATAATATAAGCAATGGTCTTATTTGAACTAAAGAATATTTGTTTCAAGTTGCTAAAAGAGATTTTAAAAGTTCTCACCACACACAAAAAATTGTAACTATGGGAGGTGATAGATGTGTTAATTAACATTACTGTTGTAATCACTTTGCATTTTACACATGTATCAAATCATTACATTGTACTTAGACAATACTTAGACAATCTTAACTTAGACAATACTGTGTGTCAGTCAATTCATCTCAATGAAGCTAGAAGATGGGAAAACATATGGGCACATTACTCTAACAACTGCAGAACACAGGATTTCTAGTCATACCTAAAAAATAATTCCATGATAGAACAGTCAATGATCTTAAAAAGTTGCTCTACTAGACCCACAACAAACAAACTTAACTAATTATAAATACATATATGTGTGTGTATTTATCCACTGGATATCCATTTCATGCTGTAAAACGCCTTTTTAAAATTGAGTCTGAGATAATTATCAGCTGTATATCCTTGAGTAAATTACTTAGATTCTCTTAACTCAGTTTCCTCACAAGTAAATTGAGAATAATCATAGTATCTTCCAACTACCTGACTTGTGGTCAGCATTCCTTAAACGTTACGCCCCATTACTAAAGAGAGACAGAGAGCGACAGGACAGCCAGAAGCTTAGAATGAGTCTTTTTTACATTTTTTTAACTGACTGATTTTAGAGAGAGAAAGGAAGCCGGAGGGAAATAGGGAGGGAGGGAGGGAGAGAGAGAGAAACATCAGTTTATTGTTACATTATTTATGCATTTGACGCTTATATGTGCCCTAACCAGAGATCAAACCCACAACCTTGACATATTGGGACAATGCTCTAACCAAATGAGCTACCAGACCAGGGCTCTGGAACGACTGCCTTAATCCTTGATTGGAAAGGGAGGTAAAACAGATTAAATGGGCCACTACCGTATTTAAAGTTCTACTGATATTATGTCCAATTCATAAAACAGAGGTGTGGATGACACTTAAGTGATGTGAGAAAGGTGTCAGAACTGGAAGCCCAGACCCTCACTCCCCCTTGGCAACACGGACTTAACTACATTGCCTTACAGAGGACTCCACACACCCGTGAAGAGGCTGCAGCTCCCAGGGTGAGGGCCGGGCCAAGCACAGCCACATCCAAGTAATACGTTTGTGTGTTTTCCTCTCACAACCCCCGTCCACACAGCACAGTGCAGCGCCATTGCCTTCAGGAGAAAACTCCTAACACCTGGCTTCTCCACGTGGAGGGTGAAAGAAAGAAGGGTGAAATGCACACCGACATTCTGGTTTAAGATAGGGCTGCCCAAGGAGCTAGTTTCTTTCCCACCTGACTCCGAATGCTGAAGGGAAGGGCAGCCAACTTTGGACGCCAGAAGATGGGATGGGGGACTGCTGGGGACAGAGCAGAGCATGATGGCTTATCACTGCAGCAGGGTGGCAGGCAGCCCCAGGGGGTGAGCACCGCCACACCGGCCAGTGCGGGAAGAGCAGTCCCCCACAGGGAACCACGGGCCCCAGGCAGAGGTACGAGGGCTGAGCACCCTTTTTGATTGAAAAGAAATTTAATTCTTGCCCCAGCTGGTGGCTCCATTGGTTGCAGTGGCATTCCATACACCAAAAGGGTTGTGGGTTCAAACCCCAGTCAGTGCACATGCCTAGGTTGCAGGTTCACTCCCTGGTCAGGCAGCACATACGCGTAAGGGAGGCAGCCAATCGATGTTTCTCTCACATCGAGGTCTCTGTCTCTCAGTCTCTCTGTCTCTCTCCCCTCCCTCCCTTCCTCTCCCCCTTCCCCTCTCTCTGAAATCAATAAAAAAATATGCTCACGTGAGGATTTAAAAAAGAAAACAATTTTAATCCTTCCCATAGGAATGACTGGAGGATAAAGTGAGCATGGGAGATGTCAGGAGGTGAGGCCAGAAAGACCAATGGAGACCACGCTGCAGATGGTCTTCTCAGGGGCAGGAGTTCAGCCTTTATCCTGGAGACAACAGGACTTCTCTTTGGAGGCCGCCAAGTAACAAGTGCAGATAAACCTGTTATGGCACATGCATCACTGATGAAAGGCTTGTTATCACTACTTCCTGCTTCTAGACAATCTCCCATCCCCCACTTTCAGTACAGTGCCTACACTCCATGAATTCAATGAGCATTTGTTAAAGGAATGAATTTAAATTTCTTTACAACCAAAAAGACTCAAGAGAGAAAATACTTTCCTACCTTCTTAGACCTCTGTGGCAAGGAGATGGAAACCACTTCTCCCCTTGTGTAGTGTGTGTGCCTGTGTATATGAGTACACTCACTGACATGAAGAGAAATATTCTGAGAAAATTACAGACCTGAAGAGCTGTGATTTTGGTAAAATACTTACCTAACTTAATTAGACCTTCTGTCTAATCCTCTCATACCAGTAGCCTCTACATTTACAAGATACACACAGAAAAACAAAGCCTTCAGAACACTCGTCTTCTCACCTGCGCTCGCACTCTCTCTCTCTCTCTCTCTCTCTCTCTCTCACACACACACACACACACACACACACACAGAGTTATCCTAGCCAATCCAACAAATAGTCTAGGCAAATAGCCTGGGCAAAGCAGCTTCCACCTCTTAGATTTTAAGCCTATTTAAAATGATCTGCTCATGTGACACTAATCTTCCCTGTCTTTATTTCTGATTAGTCAGAGTAGAATTTAACAGTGATTTTAATATTTAAAAACGAGTAGCTGAGCAGCCTTATCCTCTTGGGAGAGATGGACTCATCGGTCCTCCAGGCAAGTGTAGGTGAGGGACTAATAAAATCCTCTCCTACATCATACCCACAGCACTCTTTCTTTCCGTCAATTTTGAGAGGAGTTAAGTGTTCCGAAAAGCATACTCAAGGTTTTCCCACACGCAGGAGAATCACAGGATAGGACAGCAGAGTCGTGCCCTTGCCATCAACGAGATGAGAATTTCATCTGTTATATTTTAAGACTGCCAGAGAAGAAACTGTTGCACTTTATCCAAACAACTCACTGACAAAGCACATTGGACATCTTCTTCTTACTTCACATGGTTACCCTAAATCCCTCATGCTGGGTAAGCCACCATGTAAGTTCCTGGGCAAAACTGAGCAGGTCGCACAATATACAGTTAAACTTCAACTCTTTTTAAAGGAAAAAGAAAGAAAACATGGATGAATGGATAGACAGACAAATGGATAGAGCTGAAATATTAACAAGAGTATCTCTGGACATTGGAATTATAGGTGTTCTTTATTTACCTGTTCTTTTTACTAATTTTCTGTGATGAATATGTATTACTTGGCAATCACCAAAAATATTAATATAAGGCCCAGATGATCACTTTATATAAATAATTATTCTTACCAAGAACTATTTTTAGCAAAGCAACATAGTAACTTCTGACTGACCCTTCACTGAAAGTCTCGTTTATCACCCATTGGCTTTCCTTTTCCCACATTGTGTAACCTTGGTTCTTTGTGCCTTTAGTCCTAGCCTTTCTCCCACGCCCAAGCTTGATGTGTTCTAGGTTTCACTGGAGACATGAGGTGATTCAAGTTTTCCTACACCTGTCTTTTACTGTTATGCCTAAAGGAAAGACTGCATCTCATTTATGATGTTATATACCTGGGTCACACCTACTCTTCAAAATACTGCATAGTAACAGTATACATTTTCATATCAGACATTGTATTATCTTCTGAGGTTGTTACTCTGACATTTTTTTCTGTTTTACTGAGAAAACTATGGTAAATAGAAGTTAAATAACTTGCCCAAGATCATATAACTTGATGTCATGCAGACTCATTTCCCACCATTTCAGAACTCCAGTCCTGTTCCTACCTCACTTAATGATACAACCATCCTCCTAGTCAGAGGTGAGAGCTCGAGGCAACATGTTACGTGGTTCCCTCTCCGATCAATTCAGTCAACAGGTCACCACGTTGTGTTTATTTTGCTCCTCACACCTCTCTCTCACCAGTTAATACCATTCTCTCCCCCTGCTCCCCCTGGCTCCCCCTACAGCCTGGGTTTAGCACAGCACTTCCTCTCTCCAGGGCCCCTGTCTCCAGCATGGACTCTGCTCTACGCACCACCCACAGTCAGCTTCCTAAGCACACATCCATCTCGTCACTGGCTGTTTACTAAGGCACAGAGAATAAAGCCCACATGTTCAGGAAGATTCACCTATATTGTTGCATGTAGCTACTGTTTATTCATTCCCATTGCTGAATAGTGTTTATTCTATTGTTTGAAAATACTCCAAATTATTTAGTCGTTCCACTGAAGATAGACATTTAAAATGGACCCTGCTTGGGGCTATTATCAACAGTGCTATAATGAAAATATTTATAACACATCCAGGTACACATGTGCACAAGAGTCTCTGGAGTGTCTAGCAATTAAACACCTGGGCCACAGAACCGACACAGTTTCTATTTTAATAGATTGTGCCAAATGTTTTTTTCTGACTGGTTGTACCTGTATTTTTTTCTTCATTGCATCAATCCCAATTGCAGTGACTAGCACGTGGTAGGGAATCAATAATGCATTAGGAACAAAAGGTTGGAGAGAAAAAAAGAAGGTAGGGATGAGGAAGAAAGGAAGTAAAAGGGGGAGAAAATGGTTGTACATCCCAACACTTCTGTCAGGGAAACTGAACCAAACGTCTCTGGAGTTCCACCTGCTGAAGTCAGTAGGGGGCAGCCTTCACCTGGCTGAGAGATAAGCCACCACAGTATTGGGGCGATGATGTAAAAAGAGGAGGCTCATTCACTCAAGCAGTGCCTGTATCTGAGTCACA